TAATAAATCCTTCTTTTAATTAAAAAACTTTAAAACTCAACAAGAGGCATGATTCCAAATTATCATGAAACCACTGGAGATGGTGAGCCTGGCACTAGGGGTAGAGAGACAAAAGCTCTAGGCAAGCCCAGCCTTCGAAGAGCTCACATTTCACAAGGAAGAGGGCTGGGAAAGGGCACAAGGTGCAATGTGTTCACAGTTGAGTGACTGCAGGACATAGACACAACAGTACTCTGGGGGCATTAACATATCCAGGGTGGGGGAGACCCTAGGGACCAGGGTAGTCACTGTGTAGGTAGTGGCATTGAGCTCAGCTGTGGCTTCTAAGAAAAGAGAAGTAAAAGAACATTCCAGGCATGAGAGAGAGCTTGTACAAAGGCATGGAGGTGGGAAATTAGCATGTAAAGTAGGAGGAACAGCAAGAAAGCCAATCTGGCCAGAACACGAGTATGTGAAGGAAAGTTATATGCAGAGGAAGCTGGAGTCAGGTCAGAAGACCTATAAACAATAACAACCCCAATAATAGCATGCATTTCTAGAGTGACTAACATTTGCCAAAACGCTTCCAAAACATGACCTTCTTTGAACCTCAGAATAACTTGGGGAGACAGGTGCTGTTATTATCCTTATTTTACAGTTAAGGAAAATAAGGCAGACAAAGAGTCCATGACTTGCCCAGCGTCACTGAGCTATTAAGTGTCAGGGCTTCCAGACTCCCGGCCCAGGGCTTCATCCCCTGTCCTAACAGGAGGTAACGTGGTTGGAGTGAGCTTTAGGAAAATCCTGGTGCGGCAATGTGGCTGAGAGCTTAGAGAAGATCCCGACTTGAGGTGGACAGAACAGAGCTGGCTATTGAAGTAGTGGAAGCAAAAGAAAATGAGGAGGGAACGATGCAGGAGATCCTCTGGGCACGGATCAGCAAAGCATTAGCAAAGCATTAGCTGTGTGGGGTGAAGGAGAGGGAAGAGCTCGCATTTATCAGGCCCCTATGAGGTCCCAGGCACCGCACCCATCCTGGCTTACAATCCAATGAGAGATGGCGTGCACTACCAACATGGCAGGAGACACTGGTGAGAATGAGCAGAGGGGAGGCCTGGAAAAGTTTTTTGCAGAAGATGAGATGTTAGCTGGGACTATAACCAGTCGGCAGAGATAAGGACGGAGCACTTCCAGGCAGGGGGGACAGCCAGGCAAAATGCTGGAGGGGGAAAAGAAATGAGAGAATGTGGAGGAGAATGAGGTGCAAGAAGGCAGGAAGGATGGAGGTAGGGGTGGGGAGGACAGGCCAGAAAAGGCTTTGAACATAAACATGATGATGAGGCGTGATGGGGGGGCAGGGCAGAGAGAGTCACTGAAGTCTATGGAGCAGGGGTGACCTGGTCAGTCTTTAGGATGCTTTGAAGTGGGGAGGGCCTAATGGCAGGGACATTGACCAGCAGGTGCCAGGTGATGGGGTTGGAACAAACTCAGTGACAGTGTCAGAGGAGGCGAAGAGAGGGATAGACCTGGAGTCATGGAGATCTAGGCTGAAACAGACCTTTAACCAATTACCAACTGGGTGATGTTAGTCAAGTCACTGTGCCTCAGTTTCCTCAATTGTAAAACAGGGCTACCTCCCAGAGTAGTTGGGAGGATCTAATGATATCAGGCAGTCAGTAGGTATTTCTTAAGTACCTACTGTGTGCCAGGCACTGTGCTGAGCACTGGGGATACAAAAGAGGCAAAAGACAGTCCCTGCCCTGGAGGAGCCAAACAGTATTTCTAAAGTGCTGAGCACGGGTTCCTGGCACACAATAGGTGCTGTACAAAGCTTGCTATGGTCATTGACTAGAAATGTTGTAAAGGTAAAAACTGACAGACCTCAGCAACAGGCTGGAGACCCAGGAAGGAGAGGGCAAAGCTGTCAGGATGACACGAAGGCTGTAAGCCTGGGGGGCCCAGGAGGTGGCTATTGTCCTGGAACGTGGGAAAGGAAGAGGGTTTGGTGGACAAGATGTTGAGTATGAGATGAGCATAGTGGGGATCGGGGCTGGAGAAACAGATCTGGGCACCCTTGACACAGAGGCGGTGGTTCAATCCAGGGGAGCTCACGAGACCCCCAAGAAGGTCCAGGATAGGGCCACAGTTATCAGATCTAGCTCAGGAGAGGAGGGGGTCAGAATGGGGGTGGGAATGACCAGGGAGAGTCGTCTTTGTCCGTGTGGAGGCATGTCTGACTCTGACCCTCCGTGACCCCATGGGGGGGGGGTTCTTGGCAAAGATATTGGAGGGGCTTGTCACTTCCTTCTCCAGCTCATTGTGCAGATGAGGAAACTCCTATGCAGAATGGATGATTAACAAACCCTAAACCCCACCCCCCAACCTCCAGCAGTGAAGTGGCACCATAGTACACAGAGTACCAGGCGTAGAGTCAGAAAGACTCCTCTTCCTGAGTTCTAATCCAGTCTCAGACACTTCCTAGTTGTATGACCTAGCTGGGCAGGTTGCTTCACCCTGTTTGCCTCAGTTTCCTCATCTGTAAAATGAACTGGAGAAGGAAGCCATGAAAACTCCAAACAGGGTCACCAAGGGTCAGACACAACTGAACAACAGCAAAAATTAGAAGCCTCTCTTTTAGTTTACCTAGAAATATTAAGAAGGAAGGTTTTTTTTTTTCTCATCCAAGAAGACTTTCTGGGCCTGTCCTCTCTAGAAGGTAGGTTAGGTAAAGAACAAAAGAAAACCAAAGGATTAAGGGTAAGGAACCAAACTTGGAACAAAGATCATCTGGTCCCTCGGGGGAAAGGGCCTAGCCTCCCAGGCCTGGGATCCACCTTCCATTCAGAGGGAAATGCCCCATCCTTTTTCTTTTTTTCCCATTCAGAAAGATCAGATACCTTTGGAATCCTTGAAGGGAGGGGTTAGTCGGGAAGCCTGTATGAAGCACATACCACCTAACCAGTGGTCTGCTAACACTGTAGCTGCCCAAAGAGGCCAAGGGCAGACTTGTCCTCCAGGAGCTTACAGTCTAGCAAACAAACCGGGATAAATGGTTGGTTAGGTGGTGCTTGAGGAGTACCAAAACGAAATCACTACGTTGGGGCCAAGGTTCAGTGTGTCTGCCTCATCTGAGCTCAGACCCTGCCACAGGTTGGGCACGAATAGTCCACGGGAACATTCGGAGTCGACCTGGCTCTGAATGTGCACATCTTGGTTCTTTTGAGCTACAGAGAGCACAGCACCTTCTTTGATAGATAAAATAGGAAAGAAAGAACAGAGGGAAGGCACTGGAATTAGGCGGGATTGGGAAAGGCTGAGATTTTAGCTGGGACTTAACACAGCAGGAGGTAGACATGAGACCAGGGAGATGGGTATCTTGGGAAAAGCCTGGAAAGGTGGGAAAGGGCTAGGATTTTGTATTTGATCCTGGCAGTGATAGGGAGCCACAGAAGTTGGGGAAGGCGGGGTGATCACGTTAATGGCTGTATGGGGGATGGGCTGGAGCGGGGAGAGACTTGAGGCAGGCAGATCCCCCTTTCTCCACCCCCCATCCCTCCTGCTGGAGGCAAGAGTCATAATCCAGGTATGAGGTAATGAGGGTCCCACCAGGGTGGGGGCAGGGCAGGTGAAATTGACCAGAGGTGTTACATAGTAATGGGAAAGATAATGGGTTTGGTGTGGACCTCAGAATGGTCAGCATAGAGATGGTAATTCAATCCATGGGAGCTGATGAGACCACCAGGTATCGAGAGGAGGCCCTGAAGCGAACCATGAGGGACACATACAGTTTCAGGATCCATGAAAGGAGATGGAAATGAGGGAGGAGCAACAGAAAGGGGGCGGGTGTCCCAAAAACCCAGAAAGAAGGGTGTATCCAGGAGGAGAGTGGCCAACTGTGTCCAAGACTGCAAAGAAGCCCAGGAGAATGAGGACTGAGGCCATTGGATCTGGCCACTGAGGTCATCAGTCAATTTGGAGAGCAGTCTGCCAGAATGGGAGAGAGGCCCCCTTTGTACATGGCCATGGCCAGGAGGTTAGCCACCAAAGACAGGGGAGAGATGACCACATGAGGATTCTTAGTAGGATGGGGAGATGTGGGTGTGTTTGGAGGCAGAAGGGAAGCAGCCTTTTGTAGACAGGTAAGAGAGAGTGCGGGTGGGGAGTCAGCAGCCCCCTTGTAGAGGCCAAGGCTGCAGGTGGCAGAAATGACAATAATAAAGGGGTCCAAAGGCTCACCAAGGGATCCCGCTGGGGGTAGCTTACAATGGGGGAGAGAACCTCTGCGGTAGCGGGAGGATTCTGGGATTTTAGCCCAGTGCCGACTCTCCTGCTTTGGCCAAAGCCTTCCACAATCTCTCTTTAAGGAATGTGCCCCAATTGACTGTATTCTCATTGCCAATTCTGACTTTCTGAACTACGTGTGACCCTGTGCTGGGCACCTCTATTTCTCCCTGCCATTCCCCTTTCAGCTTCCTTTTGTGTATTCTCTCTGCTTGTATCTAAATTCCCAGCTTAGCCCAGTGACTGGCCCATGTAAATGGCCAAATGCTTCTTGCCTTTTTCCTCTCTCAAGATTCCCAGTTACCTCAAATAGTCTTGGGGTTAAGGAGACCAATGGAAGGGGCACAGGAGGACTAAGTCAGGGTGGACATTTCTCTCTCGTCTAGAAATGTCTGGATTTCGAATCATGTAAAAGGAATAAAAATGGCATCTGGCAGACTTGGGTCTAGGACAGAGGGGGCCCAGGACCAAACCCTGGGTTTGGCTATGTGCAGTAAGCCTGCAGAGTTGGCTGGGGCCTGTTGGGAAGGGTGCCACAGGGGCTCACTGGGAGCTTTGGGAAGAATGGTGTGGAGAAGGGATGAGAAGATACAGGATGACGGCTGAGTTCACTAGGCACTGGGGACAGGGGGCAGTCTGCTGTAAAAGGGAGTGGGACCACAGGGTGGGGGCGTTGGTTGGCAGCAGGGAAGAAGGCTCCCTGTGAGTGGTTCCGTCGTACAAATGGAGCCCAGCCATGGTGGGGTTGCTTACACAGACTTTATTTAGGTTCACGGGGTTAGGGAGCAGACCCTTAGAAGGTACCACAAGAGGGCCCAAAGCAGGCATGGCTGCTCTGGGCAACAGCCTCGAGCGTCCTCCTGGGATTCCTGGTGCACACACCAGGGGCCTGTGCTGCACAGACGACAAGACGAAACACACAGACAGACGAGGGGTCCTCCAGCAGGAGTGAGCAAGGAGGGAGAGGGGAAGAGGCCTGGGCTGGACTCAGCCGGGTCCAAGAGGTGCTTGGCCGGCCCCCAGTTTGGTCAGGGGCTCCAGAGATAAATGAAGACCAAGGAAGCAGCACCCCAGGCCGATCGCTGTGTGGCGGTGCACCTCAGGGGCTGCTCTAAAGCCCAGAAAACATGCTTCTGGGTGGGGGGGAGGGGGAGAGGGGCCCTGCTTCACGGCCCCAGGTGGCAGCCCAGCCCTGCAGGTGCTCAGTGATCCTCATTACTTTCCTCTGCGCTATCATATCCTCCAGTATCTGGACTATCATATCCTGCAGCGGCACCCGGGCCAAAGCCAATTGTAGGGCCTCTGGAAGGAAAAGTATACTCACAGTGAGTCCCGATGCTCTCACTTTAATGACACCCCTTTATTGGGGGCTCCACATACCACCCAGCAGGGAGACCAAGGGCCGGGCTGCAGAGGGCCCCGATGCCCAGGAACACCCTAACCCTTCCAGCACTGTCACTGCCTGTTTTGGGGGGAGGTGTCTGCTGCCTCAGTGGCTCCCCAAGCCCTCTCCATTCCCAACTCCCCTTCCTCTAAGACCTTGTTCCCTCCTCCCAGTCCTCCCTTTAAACCCCTAGGTACCCTCTTCAGGAGGGAGCTGGCTTTTCTCTATTCCCTGAGATGTCAGAGCCTCCTCCTGCAGGGACCCAGCATTTGAGCTGCCACCCCCTTTCCCCCAGGACCAGTCTTCTCCCTCTTGCCCTCCCTCCTCCTCCTGACCCTTATAAGCAGGGAGCTCTGTGGCCTCTGGCCTCCCCTCCCAGTCACCCTTTCCCCAAACAGGGGCACCTTCACCACCCTATGCTTGGGAAGCCACCTCACGATCAGCATCTTCCATCCTTCCTTCTGCTTCCCCAAATTCTGCCCTCACTTCTCCCAGTGAAAAGACCTCGAGCTCTGTCCCTAATGACATCAGCCATCCCCGTGGTGTGTCAAGGTCACTCGGGATCATCCTACCGCCATCCAAGTCAGTGACCAAGCTGCCAAATGGCACCAGGCCGATGACAGATCCCTGGGCCACCCCACTAGAGACCTCCCAACAGGAGCAGGGGTTTGCTGTTGGGCTCAGCCAAGTAACTCCCGTTACTGGCCCTTAACTGGCCAGTGAGTGTCTAAAGTGTCTTCATTGTGCTGCAGTCAATGAGCCAGCCCCCAAGCGGGGGAAACGACAGAACCCAGAGGGTGAGGGAATCAGGAAGGGTCTCAGGTAGGACCCTATCCACAAGTACCGAAAAGGGAAGATTGGCAAATGCCTTGCCAAAATCCAAGTGTAACCCTGGCCCAGACCCTGGGGCTCCTGGCTCACCCAGGATGGGTTAAAGTCTTGAGAGGTTCAGCTAGGGTCAGGAAGGCCTGAGTTCAAATCCTGTCTCTGATACTTCCTAGCTGTGTGACCTTAAGCAAGTCACTTCTCTGTCTGTCTCAGTTTGCCTTTATTTCCAGTAAAATGAGGATAGTAACTGCACCTCCCTCTTAGCGTTGTGTGAAGATCTAATGAGCCAATGTACGTGAGGTGCTTGGCCAACCTTCAGGGGCCCTGTAGATGCCGTGTGAGTGATCACCCCCCCTAAGGCCACAGGACTTAAGCCCCCCACCCTCGAGTTTCTCTGAGCTCCCACATAAACACACACCTGACTGGGCTGTTCCCTACCCTAGTCTTCAGGGTCCCTAGGAGAGAAGGAGCTCCTCCAAGCAGCTTTGGAGGGGAGACCCGCCTCCCACTCAGACTGGCCTGCTTCGTCCTGATGCCTCCATCTCCTATTGGTCAGTCTTTGCACTGGTTGTGCGCCAGCCCCACACTCCTCTATCCCTTGGAATTGCTGGCTCCCTTGAAGACTGAGCCCACCTGTGGCCTTTCCTCAGGCATTTCCTAACCCTGAAGGAATCTTCAGGACACAGATTCTTCCCTGGGGTCTGTGTGCTCAAATGTTTAACCCTTTTTGCTTCTTGGATGGTTCCTTTTGTGTGTGTTGAACAGCAGTTTGAGAAGGCTTTTGGCCGGGTCCCAAACACATGTAGTGAATCATGAAGCGGCAGCTGACCCAGGCTCCATCGGTCTGTCAGTCAAGGCTCCCTCTCTTTCCCCAGGTAGACATTGCACTGACTCCCCAGGGGAAGGGAAGGCAGGCTCTGCTCACTGGGGTCTCAGGTCCATGGCCTAAGTGCTGAATGGGCTTGTTGGGTGGAGATTGTGTGAGTGAGGCAGACAGAAAGAGAGAGACACACACGGAGGGGCAGGAGGGGGCAGAAAAAGGGCCAACATCCCAGTCTCCTGACCTGAGGCTGATGATGTCTTCGTCGGGAGAGTCGGGGTCACTGCCAGCCTCCGACTCGGCATCGTCTTCGTCCTCCCCCATGTCCTCCTCCCCCATGGGCTCCTCCTCGGCCTCGTCCTCAGCCTCATCCACGGGCTCCTCCTCGTCCTCAATCTCTTCCACAGTCTCCTCCATGGCCTCCTCCGGATCCTGGGAGCTGTCCCCTCCGATTGCTCCTCCCTGCCCAGAGACCTGGGAGACCAAGGCTACAGAAGCCGATGCGACGGCAGAGGCCACCGATGCAGAGGCCGAGGCCGAATCCTTAGCCCCAGAGGCGGACCCCGCAGAGGCCGATGCCGAGGATGCCAAGCCCGCCAAGCCCGCCAAGCCCTGGTGGCCGGAACTGCAGAGGAGAGTGACTGGGGCGTGATAGCCCTGCAGGCCCACCCCCACCACCACCACCGATGACGCCCCTCTGGCGTCCTCTGGTAGATACTCAGGCCCGGATGTCCACCGCCCCTCCCCGCCCCCACCCCATCTCTCCCCCGTGATGTTTGGCCCCTCCCCCCACCCCATCCCTATCCCTCCCCCCTCCCCTCCACTCCACTCTCCCCCTCCGCCGCCCCCGCCCCCTCTGCTCTCCGTGGCCTCCGCCCCTTCCCCCTCCCCTCCTTGCTTTCCCCCCACCACCATTTATCCCGCATAATGATCTACCTCCTCCCTCTTCTCCCCGCTCTCTCTCCATCCCCATCCATCCTCAGTAATGATCGACCACCTCCCTCCTCTCTCCGCTCTCCCTCCACCCCATCCCCATCCATTCCTCATTAATGATCGACCTCCTTCCTCCTCTCTGTGCTTTCCCCCAACCCCATCTCCATCTTTCCCATATAATGATCGACCACCTCCCTCTTCTCCGCGCTTCCCCCCCACCCCATTCCAATCCATCCCCGATAATGATCGTCCACCTCCCCCCTCTCCCCACTCTTCCCCCGCCCCCGTCCCTATCCATTCCCCATAATGATCGACCACCTCCCTCCCCTCCCTGCTCTCTCGCTGGCCCCCCCGCCCCTCCCTCTGGTCTCCCTACTCTCCCCCCAATAACGATAGCTCGCCCCCGCCCCTCTCCCCTACCTCTGGTTGTCCGGGGACGAATCGAACCAGAGATGGGCCGGGTAGTGGTGGATACGGATCAGATGGTCCGTCTGCTCCTCGGGGCTCATGAACTTGTCGGTGCAGCCCCACACCGGGCACTGGTAGTAGAAGGGGATGGGGCGGCGCTCGCGCGCGGCCGCCGCCCGAGTGGGCGAGGACGGCACGGTGCCGTGGCGCTCCAGGAGGTGGATGTCCAGCAGCTGGTCCGAGGGGAACGAGCGGCGGCAGAAGGAGCACGCGTTCTGGTGCAGCGTCTGGTAGTGACGCACGTAGCCCGGCAGGGAGTCGAACACCCGATCGCAGCCCCCGATGTGGCAGCAGTAGGCGGGCACCCTGCGGGGAGAAAGCAGCTCGCTAGCTCCCAGACCAGGAGCCGCCCGTCCGTCCGCCAGCCCCTCGGCTCATCGGCCGCCCATCCGCCGCCCATCGGCCCCGAGGACCCTCTGCGGACCCGCTCCGCGGCCGGCGTCAGAGCCCGGCTCCGCTGGCCGGGCTCTTCCGTCGGCCGAGGCTTCCCTGTCACTGGGAAGGGCGGCAACAGCACCTTCGGGTGCTGAGGGTGTCTCGTAGGGTTCCCATCCTGGAGAGCAGATGGCCGAGGAGGGCGCGACCAGCGATATGGACCGAGCCCTGCTCACCGCGACGATGACGAACCTTTTTCTACGACGAACCTTTTTCTTACCTCCCACACCCTCCCCACCCCCTGCAAACCCCGCCTCTCTGCCTCGGTCTGGCCGCAAACCCCGCCTCTCCGCCGCAGTCTGGCCGCAAACCCCGCCTCTCCGCCTGTCTCTCACCGCAAACCCCGCCTCTCCGCCTGCCCTTACCGCAGACTCCGCCTCTCTGCCTCTGTCTCATCCCAAAGCCCCGCCCCTGACTCAGTCTCACCCCAGGCTCCGCCCCTCCACCTCAGTCTCGCCTTAGGCACCGCCCCACATCCCGCCCCTCAGCTTTGCTCCCACCCCAGCTCTATCCCTTTAGTCTTGCTCCAGCCCCAAGACCCGCCCCTCAGCCTAGCTCTCATTCCAGGCCCCGCCCTGAGCCCACGTGACCTCAAACAGCAGGTGTCCTGGTGCAGGCTAGGGGTAGCCACGGCTGTCGGTGGGCGGGGGAGAGCCAGTCGAGTCTGGGCCGAGGCGGGCCAGCAGCCCGGGGAGGTGGGGGGGCAGCTCCATTTCCCTTTCTTCTTCCCTTCCCAGCACCCTCCCCAACCAACCATGCGGTGCCCGAGGCGGGAGGGAAAGGGCTGCTGACGTCACTTCCGGCTCAGGAACTACTTCCTGGTCATGCCTAAGCCAAGGCGGGAGCCGGCTGGGACCAGGAAGTACGGCCGGGGCCGGGGGTAAGTAAGTAAGGAGGGAGTAGCCCACAGGTGGCTCAGGGTCGGCGCTTCCCCTCCCCCTCTGCTGCCTTAGTGCCCCCAGGGGTCCCCCCAGCTCGCTGACTAGCACGGAGAACTTCCGGTCCTCACCCTAAATTCGTGTCTGTGTCCACGGCCGGGGACTGAGAGGCCTTGGGCCGGGACCAGGAGCACCCCGCTCCCCTCCCCCAAGCCCAAGGAGGGGGGACAAGAACTCCCCCTCCTCCCTCCCACGGCCGGCCCCAACCGCGGGACCAGGACCACTCCTTGTCCTCCCCCTCCTGCCCGCCTTCCTTCTCCTGACCTGGGACAGCTCCCCTCTCCTGCTCCTCCTCCTCCTCTCCGCCCCCCACACCCTGACCCCTCTTGTCCTTCCCCCACCCCCTACCCTAGACCAAACAGCCCCTCCTGCTTTCCCTCCGGCTCCCTTCTCCCTCTCTCCCTCCTTCTTCCTCTAGGACCCCTGACAGTTCCTCCCCAATCCCTCCTCCTCTTCCTCCTGCTTCTCCTCCAGGCCAGACAACTCCTTCGCCTCCTCTCACTCTCCCCTACAGGACCCCGGACAGCTCCTGCCTTTTCTTTCTCCTTCTTCCTCCTCTTCTTCCCTCCTGCTTTACTTCTCCTTCTCCTCCTCTTCCTCCCTCCCTCTCTCTCTCTCCCTCCCTCCTTCCTCCTTCTCCTATCCTTGTCTTCCCATCGCCTCCTCCCAAGATCCTGGACAGCTCCTTCTCCTCCCTCCTGCCTTCCTGTTCCTCCTCTTCCCTCCTGTTTTATTTCTTCTCTTCCTCATCCCTTTTCTCTTCCTACCACCATCACTTACTCCTCCTCCCAAGACCCTCGACAGCTCCTCCTTCTCCCTCCTCCTCCTCTTCTCCTGCTTTATTTCACCTCCTTCTCCCCTCTCTCTTCTTCCTTCTTCCTCCTCCTCCCAGGACCCTGGACAGTTCTTCCTCCCTGTCTTTCTCCCCCCCAGTCCTCCTCTTCCTCTTCCTTCCATCCCTCGAGGGGAAGCTCAAGATGGCCTGAGCTAATCCTAACCGTTATGAATTCCTGGGGGGGGTTGGAGTCCACTCAGACCCCTCAGAGTCCCAAGGTTGTTGGCAAGAACAACCACCAGGGCAAAGTATTGGAAATGGAGAGGATGCCCATCATTTGGGGAATGGCTGAACAAGTTGTGGTATATGAATGTAATGGAATACTATTGTGCGATAAGAAATGATGAACAGGCTGACTTCAGAAAAACTTGGAAAGACTTGTATGGACTGATGCTGAGTGAAGTGAGCAGAACCAAGAGAACATTGTACACAATAACAGCTACTTTGTGCGATGACTAATATCGATAAACTTAACCCTTCCCAGCAATACAAGGATCTATGACATCTCCAAAGGCCTCTTGATGGAAAATGCTATCAACATCCAAAGAAAACTATGGAGTCTGAATGCAGATAGAAGCATACTATTTGCTATTTTTTTTTCTCTTTTGTTGAGTTTTGTTTCCTCTTTCTGGTGGTTCCTCCTATTGGTTCTAATTCTTACTTACAACATCACTAATGTGAAAATATGTTTAATAGGAATGTATATGTAGAGCCTATATCAGATTGCATGCCATCTTGGGGAGGGTGGTGGGGAGGAAGTAGGAGAAAAATTTTAAACTCAAAAGCATATGGAAGTGATTGTTGATAAATGAAAATAAATTAATGGAAATAAAAAAAGAACAGCCACCAGAAAACAGGGAGAAGCTGGGGTTAGAGGCCCCCAAAGTGAGCTGGCTGGTTCCCCAAGGAAGAGGCCTGGCTCCTTTGCAGGGGTTGGGCCTCAGGTGGGAGCAGCCCTCAGGGCATTGATCATCTTAATGTATCTTTGTCATAAGAAAGGGTTCACTGGGAAGGAGGCATTCTGAATGTGCTAGTAAAAGCCTCTTTTAAAAGAAACTACTACACTCTGACTTTGGGTCTGGCCCCTCCTTGGGGAGTCCACTCGAACCTCTTGGACCAGCTGTGTACAGTGTCTAAGGATGGGGAGCCCCTGAGTGCTCACTCCAGGCCTCTTCTGGCCTCCAGCCAAGGCCACAGTGAGGTCCTGGGCTCCTTCTCCCAACCATTTCACAACTACCTGAACACTTTCTCCTTGCTCCCTTTATCTGTCCAGTTCTGAATTGCTCTGTGGCCTTATCTCTCTGTCTTCACCTTCCCCACAGTCAGTCACCAGGTGTATTTAGGGAATGGAAGATATCCCCAGACAATTAGCAGATGGTAAGACCTCTGTTCACAGCTCTTTGCTGTGCTACAGGGGCACATCCAAAGGCATTGGCTTATTTGTGGGGTTTGTCCATTTCCCTCTTGGACACCCCAAATCGAATGCCCTGTAGTACGTCACTCAGACTCATACTCCTTCTTTCCACACTTCCCAGGCCCGAAGCCTCAGCACCCCCTCAACTTCTCCCTCTCACGCCAAATGGCCATGACTTGTGGTTCTGCTTTCATGACCCCTCTTGTGTGACCCCACTGCACCCGATCCTCAGCCCCTTGTCATGTCACACCTGGATTGTTTCAGAAGCCCAAAGTGACCCTCTCTCCCACACACCCCCTAACTCAGACACATCTCCAGGCACAAATACAACAGGCTCTGTTTGGCCCCTCCTCCCTCTCTGGCCTCCTGGTGGTGCCCGTCTCTCAGTGCTGGGCATTTCTCCAGTTGTCCCCCAGGCCTGGACCGCTCACCTTCCATAGGAAGCCTTCCCAGACTGCCTTCCTCCCTGCTTCCACAGAATTCTTGATGTGTTCTCTCTTTAGACGGGGAGCTCCATGTTTTTCCCCTTTCCTTGTATCTCTGGCACTTAGCACAGCTCCTAGCACATAGTGGGTATTTCATGGATTGACTGTTTTCTCTTCGACCCTGAGGTTGCTGGTATTGCCACAGCTCTCCAAGTGAGGAGCCTGGAGGTAGGCTCAAATCCCACCTCAGACCCTTCCTAATTAGGTGACCCTGGGCAAGTCACTTCATTACTGCCTGCCTCATTTCCTCATCTGTAAAGTGGGGATAGTAACTGCACTTAAGCTCAAAGGAGATAATCACTGTAAAGCACTTAGCCCAATGAGGATGCATATTATGTGCTTATGCCTTGCCTTCCTTCCCAGGCCCATTCTGTTTTTCACCATCCTTTTCATCTGGCTGTTGCTGTTCAAAAAGGTAGTTGAATAAACCAGGCACCAGATGGGACAATTCTTAGTCCGTTCTTGTGCTTGTTCTTTATCCAGGTCTCCTGGGCAATGGACATTGAGTTAGGTTCATTTCTCCTTGCGAGACTCTTGTTTCATCTCCTGGAGACAATCCTGGTTCTCCCTTTTTAGAGAAATGGTTTGCTTTGCCCTCAGGTGAACGCTTTGTGAGTGTGTGACCCAGCCCTGGAAACATGAGTGAATTCCGGATTCACCATGACGTGAATGAACTGCTGAGTTTGTTGCGTGTGCATGGAGGGGATGGTGCTGAGGTCTACATTGACTTGCTGCAGAAGAATCGGACTCCCTATGTCACGACGACCGTCTCTGCGCACAGTGCCAAAGTGAGCCCCTCCCCCCTTCCGGAGCGAGAGCCGAGAACATGCTAGTCTGGATGCCTTTCTGGGCTTCAGCTCCCTTAGAGTGGAAGCCCCTCGAGGGCAAACACTGTCTTTGCCTTGTTTTGCATCTCTAGCACTACACACAGTGCCTGGTGCTAGTGGGCACTTTGTAAATACTTGTGACTGCAAGAACTGAATACATTCAGGCCTTCTGAAGAAGCCCTGGGTTCAGGGTCCTCCTCTGACCACACATGGGCTGTGTGACCGGGGCTCGGTCCCAGGCAGAAAGCTGCAGAGAAGGTGCCAGCCTCTTGTGGTGAAGGGAGTTTGCTCCCCTGGGGTTTCCCAAGACCAGAGAAATGACAGGGGCCGCCTAGCAGGTGTGGTAATGTTCAAAGCAGCAGCTCTTCTCCAGCTGATTCCCTGATGTCATCTCCAGTACAGACCTCAAATAGACCCACATTTGTTCTTCCTGAATTCCAAAAGCACAGGTTTTTATTTGTGCTCCATCCTGACAATTCTGCAGCACAGTTTGCTGCTTCTGGCGCTCCCTTACCTCCAACCCTCACCTTGTCTTTTGCGCCAACTCGTTGCGTTGTAAGCTTGTTTTTTTAACGAATATTAGACAACGGCCTGCCCCTGCTCGTTGGAATGTGGTGGAGAGGCTGCGTGAGGGGTGGGGGGGCTGGGGTGAAGGCGGATGGAGGAGCGGCCGTGCGGGTGGGGATGGGGGGCAGTCCTTCCTTTGACTTTTGCGGTTCACTTGACTTCAGCAGTTGGTTCTTTGCCTTGTCTTGAGGTGGTGTTCAACTAATGCTTGTTGTGCTCCCTAGGTTAAAATAGCAGAATTTTCCCGTACTCCCGAAGATTTTCTGAAGAAATATGATGAGCTGAAATCAAAGAATACCCGAAATCTTGACCCTCTGGTCTACCTCTTGGCAAAGCTTACAGAAGATAGAGAGGTAGCATGCTTATTATCTCATGAAAAACCACGAAGTTCCTCAGGGCTGGGTGTGAAGTCCCTTGGGTAGGAAATCTGAGCCGCGCCTTCTGGTGGGAGGTAAAAGCAGTTAAGCAGAGTGGAGAGAGATGGAGGGTAGAAGGCCTGGATTCAAATCCCGTCGGTGAGACGTAGGGTTCTGTAACCCTAGACAAGTTCTGCCCTGCCGTGCGCCTCAGGGGCCACCCTAGGATTTCTCTACTAGGGCTGCACAGATTGACTTGACTTTGGAGCTGAAAGTGCCAGGTTCTGTTCCTGTCCGAGCCACCAAGATGCACCAAGATGCTTGCTGTTCCCAAGGCTTCGGAGCTTTCCTGCTGTACTGAGTGGGGGGCCCTGAAGGGTGCAGGTCCTTCCTCACAGTGGCTACTGATATGTTTCACCCTTAGCTGTTAATAGATATTGTGTGGAAGTGATGAGCTGGCTTTGCATGGGAATTTCTAGAAAGATAAATGCAGGGAATTGTCTTACTCTTGGGGTAGTGCCGACTTTTCTTCCTAGAGTGACGTCCAATGGGGCTGGAAAGGGCCCCGGTAAGGGACAAGGTGGCTCAGACCCCTGGCCTTCCTGTCCAGCTCCTTTTCCCATGGGCAATAGTCCAATTAGAAATAAGGGTTAATGTGCTTAATTTTTCAGCCTAATGACATGGTCATGTGCCCACGTTTCAGACTCTTCAGTATCTACAGCAGAATGCCAAAGACAGGGCCGAGCTGGCCGCTGGCACGGCTGTGAGCTGCAGCACCAACTTTAGCATCCCTTCAACGGCGTCCAAGATTTCCATGCAGGAACTGGAGGAGCTCCGGAAGCAGCTAGGCAGTGTTGCCACTGGCCCCAACTTACAGCAGGTTCATGTCTCTGTCTGTCTTCCTCTTCCTCTGGAGCCCAGGCTGCCCTCTGCAGGTCCCCAGCCCCCAGATCGGGGCTTAGGTGGGATTGTGCACCCAGCAGGGGCAGTGAGAGGCAAGGGCTGGTGGCTGAACTCACAAGCACTTACCAGCTGTGTGTCTTTGTTTGTAAAGTGGGCAGAAGAGCAGCCCTTCGTGGGGTAGTTGGGAGGATCAGGTGAAATCTCATCTGAAAAACGCTATAGAAACATGTGCTTTTGCTAAATCTTTTTTTTTTCTTTTTCAATAATTAATTTATCTATTTTTAGTTTTCAATATTCACTTCCATAAGATTTTGAGTTTTACATTTTCTCCCCCTCCCTCTTCCCCTGCCCAAGATGGTGTGCAGTCTGACATGGGCTCTACTTATACATTCACATTAAGCATATTTTCCCATTAGTCATGATGTAAAGAAGAATGAGAACTAATGGGAAGAACCAGGAGAATGAAACAATAAAGCAAAACAAAGGAAAAGGAGAGCAAATAGTCTACTTCCATCTGCTTTTGGGTTCCATAGCTCTTTCTCTGGATGTGGACAGCATTTTCCATCGTGACACTTTTGGAGTTGTCTTAGACCCTTCCTTGTATTGCTGAGAAGTCAAGTCTATCAAAGTCAGTCATCGCACAATGTGGCTGTTACTGTGTATGACGTTCTCCTGGTTCTGCTCACTTCACTCAGCATCAGTACATAGAAGCCTTTACAGGTTTTTCTGAAGTCCGACTGCTCATCCATTGGCGATGGCTGAACAAGTTGTGGTATATGAATGTAGTGGAATACTACTGTGCTATAAGAGATGATGAGCTTTTGCTAAATCTTAACCAGTGAAAGCACTTCTCTGAGCACACGTGGGCAGGTCTGAAAAATGAAACCGCCCCTGTTCTGCAGAGGCACTGTTCTGATGGGACAGTGGGCACCTACGAAAGCACAGGCCACATCCGTGTCAGGTTCAGCACACACACACACACACACACACACTGGTTGCTTGCAGGGTCATTTGGAAGAGAGGGCATTGGTATTTGGGGGGCACTGCATCTTAAAGGAAGAGAGGGACTCAGAGGTGGAAGTGAGGAGAGATGGCGTGCCAGGAATGAGGGACAGCCAGTGCAAAGACCCAGAGACAGGAGGTGGATTGTAGTAGGTGAGGAACAGAAAAAAGACCACTGCAGCCAGATTGCAGGGTAAGAGACTTGGAGTGATGTCCAGTGGGGCTGGAAAGGTGGCTTCTCTCTGGCCTATGCAGGGCTTTAAAAGCTAAACCAAGGGGTCTGTTCCATTCTAGAGGTAATGAGGGGCCCTGGGACTAGACAGAGCAGAGGGGTCGGGGCCAGGTCTGCCCTAGAGAATAGAAATCTGGGCCCTAAAGGGGAGAGGCTTGAGGCAGGGTGAGCGGTGAGGAGGCTTTCATTGGGACGAGAGGCCAGGGATGAGATCTGAATCAGGGGAGAGGCCGGGCCTGGATGTGCAGGCCTGAGAGGGGCGGGCAGAGAGGATGAGCTGATCAAGCCACTGGGAGATTAGCCGTGGATTACCCCCGCGCCCCACTGGCGAGCCTGGTGTTGCTGAGAAGCCAGCAGAGGGGCGCTCAGACAGGAGAGAGAAAGGGTACGAGGTATGGGAGAGGGACAGGGAGGAGAGACGGAAGGTGGGTCTGGGCCCGCTTGGACACCCTGATGGGGGCGAGGATCTGGAGCAGACAGGGAGCTGCCCTAATGAGGGGGAAGCGCATCCCTTCTAGATGTCGCCCTTTCATCGATCTGCAGAACGTCCTGGTGACCGTGCAGAAGGGTGTGGGGGATGCGGTGCACACACTCGGGCCTCTGCGTGGGCTCCTCTAGCCACCAGCCACCTTTGACTAAGCCTCTTCTGTGACGGTCTCCCTAATCCTGTGTCCTGGTTGAGGCCTTGATGTAGCCCTAGTCTCCAAAACAGTCTTAGTTTGATGAACCTCCCCCTGACCTCTGTGAATGTGGACAGCGAAGGTTGGGGTGGGATGGAGGGAGGAGCTGCTGCAACCTAGAGCCCGCAGGGGTCAGTGGAGGAATTGTACACCAGGAAGAGAAGGTGGACCGGTGCCCTGGGAGGGTTGGGGAGGCCCATTCCAGCTCCTCCTTGCCTGGGTGCCAGGCGGGGCCCCTGGCTTTACCTTGGCCACTGGGCTTCTGCGATGCAGTTCCACCTGGGGCCTGGAGTAATTGTCGCTACCCATCGATTTGATTGCAAGTAGGATGCTTTATTCTGAAATCACCTGCCTCACAAGTGAAAAGCATGTCTTGACTCTTCTTATTTAAAAAAAAAAAACCCTCTCAGTCACAGGAACTCACAAGAAAGATGCTCCGGGACAAGCAGAGCAAGAGAAATTCAGGCCACCATCTGCCGGCATTCCCTGCGTGGGTGTATGAGAGACCCACCCTGATCGGGGATTTCTTGCTTGGCTCTGGTCTCAGCTCGGACTCTGCTCTGCCTGTTGGTACGTGCTCCTGAGGAGTCGGAGATGGTGGAGGGGGGAGAGACCCGAGGGTGGCAGGGCGGCCCTAACTAGGGGCCAGGACTACTCTGCCCCTCTCTGAGCCCCCCTCCTCAGCTGACTTCCCTGGGCATTCGGGGGAAGGGTCCTGAAGGATGCACCCAGTGATGACGGGAGTCCTCAAGTGAGGGCCTGGAGAGGTGGGGCGCTCCCAGAGCCAAGCAGACAGAGAGCTGGACTTTGATCGGAGGGGTCCAGTGAGATGACACTTAGCAGAGGGCCTGGCACATAGTAGGCGCTGTGTAAATGTTAATGACGCCAATGAGGATGGAAGGCAGGGAGGGGAAGGATTGGTTTTCTCCCCCAAAGGGGTCGGGGAGAACTCCTAGGAACGTTCCCTCCAAGGAAGCGGTCCTGAGTGACCCTTGAGCCTGAGGGGACTCCTTTTGGAAGGGAAAGCCAATGTTCCTTGAATTCTGGAGTTCTGCACCTAAACGCTGGCAGTGGCCCCTGGCTCTCGACTCTGTGATTTTACAGGCTCAATTTTCTTTCCCTCCCTCTGGGAAGCTCTGCTCCCCTCGGACTCTGCCTGGCTCCTCTCCCTGGGAATTGAAGCAGCCCTGCCATTCAGAGGCCTTTGCCCAAGTCCCGTCTGTGACCCTAACTGGCCACAGAAGCAAGTCCCTTCCTCACTGAGGCTGTGAGGCCTGACCTCCCTCCCGTGTGGGTGGTGGGGAGTCTCCCGTAAAGCCCTTTGCAGAGTCCAAAGAGGTCCATAAACCTCCATCCTGAGTATGTGGTGTTCCATACACTCTCCTCCTATCATCCCGATGGAGTGTAATCCACCCAGAGTGACCCAGAGTTTCAGAATCGCCTCAAGAAGAGGCTGTTTGAGCCCACCTTTGGATGAAAGGGGAAGCAGCCTGTTGGCTCCCCTCGAGGCAAAGTGCCCTTTAGGGTGTTGGCTGGCCAGATCAGGCCTTATTGAAGGTAGAGCCCTGAGGACAGCCCCTGGGTGATTCTCCTCTGGAGCAGAGACCACTTGGGCAACACCCATTCACTCCAGGCTCTGCAGCTTCTTCCTTCTGAGCCCAGACACCCCAGAGAATGCTGCAGAGACAGTGTGTGATAAACAGCACCCCCTGATTTTTAGGGTTGGAATTGCCTCAGCTAGGAGTTGGAAATTGACTGGTCTTTTGTGCCCCTTTTGTGGGGCCTTTTGGTCTGCCTTTTCTGAAGGGAGCTTGCCCTTGGCCTCTCAAGAATCTGCAGTCGTGGAAGACCTGCTGTACGTTCTGGTTGGAGTGGACGGGCGCTACATCACGGCTCAGGCCCTCATCAGCAGGCAGAGCCGCACGTTCCTCGTGGACCCTAATCTGGACATGTCCGTCAAGGAGCTGGTGAACAGGATTCTCCCAGTGGCTGCAAGTTACTCAGCCGTGACCAGGTGGGTATCACCCCTGTGTGTCTGTGTGTGCCAGCAGGATCAAGTTACAAAAGCTGTCTGACTCCCTCACCACCCCTCCATCGTGGGCCCTTCCTGCAGACCCTCCCTCTCCTTCCATCCTCTCTTGGGGGCTGTCTTCCTCTGTGCTCCCTGCCGTGAGACAACCTCAGCCCATTCAGGGCCCCTCCATCCTCAGGGGGCAGCACCTGGTTCACGGCCTTCCCCTCCCTCCATCCCTGGGGGCTTTTGTACTCACAAAGGTGTTCTTTCAGACGCTCTCGCCTTCTCATTCCTCAGCCATCTTCACTTCAAGGAAGGTTTTTGTCTGCCCTATCTCAGCCACCCACAAATGGTGGCTTAGATGCTTTTAAGTCGTCCCAGACTCCTGTCCAAGAGGGACCTCTTGTCTCATCTGTGTTGGGCCATCCAAGGCCTCTGCTCTAGGAAGGCCTTCCTTGGAGGGAGAGGTTTCCCTTTGGGTTGCTTGATTTCTGTGGTCATCCACCTCACCGAGCATCAGTGGACATTTGGGTTTGGTTTATCCTGAGAATGTCAGGATGGCTTCCATCTAGTTCCACTTTAGCAGAGCCAGCTGGGCTTTCTAGCAATCTTGTGGGTCATTGTGCCAGGCCCTGAGAGCCAAGTGACCTTCGATAAATGACCAACATGGTGCCCTCTTATGTCTCTCGGCCTCCATTACTGTGGAGCCAAGCCCCATTGAGGCCTGGTTTTCTTCACTGAGTGGCTGGCCTGCCGGGGCCAAGCCTCTCCAGACTTAGCCAGCCCAGTCTTTGGACAGCAGCTTTGGCCTCTTGACAGGGCTACCTTCCAGTCTCACACATAGTATGCCCTTAGTGACTTTACACAATTCAGGCGACTCCTAATATTCCCTGTGCTCTGCCCTGCCAAGAATCAGGAGGACATGGAGGACCCGCCACGGTCTTCTCGGCTCCTCCTACGCTGCTGAAGGTACAAAATTGTGTCCTCTAATGCCTCTTGCCACTTGCCACTGAGGAGTCAGAGACAGTGGAGGAGGGAGAGACCCTAGGGTGGCCCCAACCAAGGTTCAGGGCTGCTCTGTCCCTATCTGAGCCCCCCTCCTCGGTCGGCTTCCCTGGGCGTTTGGGGGGAGGGTCCTGAAGGAAGCGTCCAGTGATGACGGGAGTCCTGGGTCCTCTGGTCTCCTTCAGGATTTTTCCTGCTGCTCAGAACTCTGCTGGACCTTCAAACCCTGAATTCTACCTCCATTTTTCTTCCTTTATCCCTTCTCCAGCCTCCCGCCATCTGGCTTCTGAGCTGACAACTTGCTTGAAACTGGTTCCTGAGGTCCCCACTGACCTCTCCTTCCTGACTGAGACTCAGGGAAACCCTCTCAGAGGCCTTGTGCACCGCCACCCCCTTGTCCTGTGGCTGTCTCCTGCTTTCCTCTGTCTGTCCGCCCATTCTTTTTTCTTTTCTTTTTTTATTACTAAAATAAGAATTATTTCCAATTTATGTCCAATAAGAAAAGAAAAGGAAATATATCATGAAATTAAATATTGAAACTTAACTGTGAAATAAGAAAAGGAAAAAAAAGCATGTCATGTACAACAGAACATAAGAGAGGATTCAAAATATAGAGCAATAAATTTCCATTTCAAGAAAGCCCATATAATAAATACTACACGTTGTGTTGAGAGCTGTCCAGCTTTTCTTTGCTTCTTGTGAGTTTTCTTTTGTTCTCTGCTGTGCATTTTTAACTTTGGTCTTTTTTTCCCACTTCCCCCCCCTCCCCAGAAGGCTACAGTTAAGCATGGATATATTTATATAGAGACATAGATATATACATACACACACATACATCCATATATAGACATATACTTTCCCTAACAAATTCTACTTCTGGTCTTTGTTTTTATGTTTGTGTGTATCTCTTATTTCCTATCCCTCCTGACTCCTCTGCTTTACTTCTACCTACTGCCTTGCCCTCCTATTACTTAACCTACCTGCCCCTCCAAGGATCCCTCCCCCATTCTCCCATTCCCATAAATCTAAACACCCTTTTGTACACCCCTTTGACCTATTGCCTTACCCTCCTCTAAAGATCTCTCCCTTATCCTCTCCCCCCTCCCTATCCCCTTAGCATTTCATTTCTTTAGAATTTAGAAGGCTTTCATACTCTCCTAGGTATATATGTATCGATCTCTCTTTAAACCCATTCCCAATGACAGTAGGGTTCCAGAACTACCCGCCTTCCTCTCCCATTTAATCCCTTTACGTTGGTTCTTCCTCTCGTACCTCATTTGTATAAGATAATTACTCTTTTTAGCTGTTCCTAAATGGTTTTACTTTTTAAAGTCATATCCTACTCAGGTCTACCTCAGTCTTTCTTACAAACTACCCAATTACTAATAACAATCTTAGACATGTGTTTTACATACATAAAAGGTAAACAGTCTGTCCTTATTGAGTGCCTTGTAATTAGTCTTTAGTATGTACTTTATGTTTCTCTTGCTTCTTGTATGTCAAATCTTCTGTTAAGTTCAGGGTTTTTTTTTTGTTTTGTTTTGTTTCGTTTTTTAATTACAAAGTCCTGAAAGTCTAACAGTTCATTAAATTTCCATTTTTTTTTTTCATTCAGGATTATGCTTAGCTTTGCTGGGTATGCTATTTTAGGCCGGAACCCCAGTTCTTCTGCTCTTCGATATATAGTGTTCTAAGACCTGCAGTCTTTTAACTGCTGCTAGATTTTATGTGGTTCTAATTGTGGCACTGCTATATTTAAATTGGTTTTTTCTTGTTTATCCTTGAGCTGGGGGGGGGTTCAGAATTTGAGTATGATATTTCTTTGGGTCTTCCTCCTAGGATCTCGTTCTGGTGGTGATTGGTGGATTTTTTTCTGTTTCTACTCTCCTCTCTTCCAATCAATGCTTCAAGACAATTTTCTTTAATTATTTCTCGTATTATATCAAGATTCTTTTTTTGCTCATAGCTTTCAGGTAGTCTAATTAGTCTGAGTAGTCTGTTCTCCAGATCAGCCATTTTTCCTATGAGATATTTCACATTCTCTTCTATTTTTTTCATTCTTTATATTTTGTTTTATTATTTCTTGATCTCTTATGACTTCCCTGGCTTCCCTTGCCCAATTCTGATTCTCAAAAAGTTGTTTTCTTACATTCTTTTCATAATCTTCTTGTTTTTCTTGGATTTGTTTGTTTGTTTGTTTATTCTTTAGTTTTTCCTCAGTCTCTATCATTTGATTTTTAAAGTCTTTTTTTTTCCTCTTGCAATATTCCTTGTTGTTTTTAATTTGGGATCTCTTTTAGGAGGTGATCAGTGGATTCTTTCGAAGACTATTTTCCCCTCTGGTTCTAGGGCCTCCGGGGAGTTTTCCTTGATGATCTCCTGAAAGATGCTGTCCAGGCTTTTTTTTTCATCATGGCTTTCAGGTAGACCAATAATTCTTAAGTTCTCTCTCCTAGATCTGTTTTCCAGGTCATTTGTTTTCCCAACGAGGAATTTTACATTTTCTTCTATTTTTTTCATTCTTTTGATTTTGTTTTACCGATTCTTGATGCCTCAGAGTCCTTAGCTTCCAGTTGCCCAGTTGTAATTTTTAATGAATTGTTTTCTTCAGTTAGCTTTTGTATCTCCTTTTCCATTGGGCCTGTTTTACTTTTTAGGGAGTTGTTTTCTTCAGTGTACTTTTTTCCAGTTTTTGAAATGAATTGTTCGGTTTTTCTTCTACCTCCCTTATCTGACTTTTAAAATCCTTCTTCAGCTCTTCCCAGAAGGCTTCTTGGCCTTGAGACCAGTTCGTATTCCCCTCTGAGGTTTAGATGTGGGTATATGGACAATGTTGTCCTCTCCTGAATTTGTGTTTTGATCTTTCCTGTCACCAAGATACTTCTCTGTGGTCATTGTTTTTCTCTGTTGCTTCTTGCTCATGCAGTCTGCCTTGTTTGGCTTTTAAAATTGATCTCTGCTTCTGGGGCACAGGGGCACTCTACCGGGCTTCTTGTGCTGGGGGCTAGGGCCTGGTTTGCTGAGGTGGGGCTTGCCACTGGTTTGCTGGGATACCTCCCTTCCTGTACTGGGTCTCTTCAGCCACAGCAAGGGGGATCTTTCCCCTCAACCCCCCTGGCCTCACGAGCTAAAAGACTGCTGTCTCTAATCTAGTCTTTCTGCTGACTCTACTATTTCAGGAGTTTTCCTGGGGCGATATTCTCTGGATTTTTTGAGGTCAATAAGGGAGGGTGAGAGGGACTTACTGCTTACTCCGCCATCTTGGCTTCCGGAAGTCGAAATAGGTGACTTTCAAACATTCAGTCTGTGGGCTAACAGCTCCAGGAGCAGCGCTGCCGCCATGGCTGCCACTGCTACTGCTGCTGATTCATTTGCTCCCGAAGCCTGCTCCTGGTTTGCTGGTGCCAGGGCTGTATTGCACGCCCTGCCGCTCTGCACTGGACCGCGCTTCTTTCTTACCCAGTTCCGACAGACCCCTCCCGCTGACCTTCTAAGTTGTCTCTGGCGTCTGTGGGCAGAGAAGACTGGAACCCGCCACTGCTGCTGGTGATTCCATCCCCCGAAGCCTGCTCAGGCTTTGCTCAGGCCGGGTCTGCTGCTGCGCACTCCTCTCTCAGGCCTGTGCAACCGAACTTTCCTGTTGACCTTCCAAGTTGTCTCAGGCTGGAAATCTGCCTCGCTCTTTGTGGATTCTGCCTCTCCAGACTTTGTTCAGAATCACTTTTTAGAGGTATTTGAAGAGATTTGGGGGACAGCTCAGGTGAGTGAGTCCCTGCTTTCACTCCACCATCTTGGTTGCGCCCTCTGATTTTTAAAGTCTTTTTTAAGTTCTTCTAGGAATTCTTCTTGAGCAAGTGACCATTTGATGTTACTCTTTGGGGTAGAAAAGAGTGTCTTTGTTTCAGTGTCCTCCTCTGAAGACGAACTTCAGTCTTCTCTATTCCCATAGTAACTCTCTGTGATTGAATTCTTTCTCCTTTGCCTGTGCGTTTTTTTTATTTGTCGTAGCTTAGTTTTTGTAATCACTTCTAGTCCTGAGGTATGGGGGATGGTGCCTCTGGTCTCACATCCTCCTTCCATTCTCCCTTCTGGCCCGGAATCAAAACCAAGACCTCCTGCCTCTTATAAATGCCCACAGCCATTGGTCTCCTGCCCCCCTGCTTCTGCCCTCACCGCACCTGTGCTAGTTACTTCTTGGCTAGGGCCAAGTCTCTGCAGAACAGCTGGGTCTGGCTGGTCCAGATGGCCAGCTCCCCTCACTGTCCTGGGGGTAAAAGTTCCTGCGCCCCGAAGCAGCCTCCCAACCCAGCTGACCCCAGGGCTTGTGGTCCCTAGCCTGGAGGTGTTCACTCTTCACAGGGACCAAACCTGGTCCTGAGACTTTTCTTCACATCTTCTCCAGTTGTCCCAGGAGGATCCCTGTTCTGCCCCTTCTCGTCTTTTATTTTTAATGCTCTACGTTCACTCTGAGGCACTGTTTTATCTCTTCTGTGGGGAATCTTGAGAGCTTGGAATTTTCTGACCTACTCCGCCATCCTCCCAGATCCTCTCCCTGCCTTCTATCCTTTGTGTCCCTTTCTCATCTCTTGCCGTCCCCCAGCATCTGCTCTGGGCTTCCTGATCCTCCTGGTCACCCCAGGCCTGAAGCTGAGCCAGGCTAGGCCTCCCTGGATCTCCTCGCTCCTCTCCAAACCATCCCTCCCGCCCCTGGTTCAGAGCCTTCCCAAGCTCCCTGTAACCTTTAGCATGAGGCTGAAGCTGCTAAAGAAGTCCTTGTTGGCCCTGGCTCGTTATCATTATTTGGTGATAATTGCTGATAATTAATCATGAGCAATAATAATGATTTCCACTCCTAGGGTGCTTTCCTCACCCACATGGTTTGATCTGAGGCCACGCTCGCCCTGTGATGAGGGCTCAGGCCCACAGGTGACGTCCTCATTTCCCACATGAGCCAGCCAGGGAGTGTCAGAGAGGGGACCCCAGCCCCAAACCTACTCTTTCTCCCCAAGGAATATCAGCTGTGCTGGTCTGCTTGCAGGTTCATAGAGGAGAAATCTTCCTTTGAGTATGGCCAGGTCAATCATGCATTGGCAGCTGCCATGAGGACTCTGGTCAAGGAGTACATGATCCTGGTCACTCAGCTGGAGCACCTGCAAAGGCAAGGCCTCCTCTCCTTACAGAAACTGTGGTTCTACATTCAGCCTACCATGCGCACCATGGAGATCCTGTCCTCCCTTGGTGAGTCTCCCATGGTCCCTTGGGGCCTCTGCAATTTGGGGGGCAAGTGAACACACTGTGTTAGCACCAGGCAACGTGCACCTGGTTCCCAGGAGACCATGTGCCAGGGTAATGTGGCGAATGGAGGGGGAATGGGTCAGGAGAGCTGCATGGAATCTCGCCTCAAAGTGTGAGGTGGGGGACAGTGGGCACCTTCCTGACCCTCTCCAGGCAGGGGAATGCTGGGCCAGGAGAGCCCCATGTGACTCTCGCCTCAGATGGTGTTAGGGTGTGAGGTGGGGGACAGCGGGCACTTTCCTGACCCTCTGTAGGGGTCCATCCTAACCCTCTCCAGGCATCAGAGTCCTCCTGTGGAAGTTGGGGTGCAATGAGCCTAAACCTTCAGACTTGTGATCTCATCATGAGAAGGAATCCCTCTACTAGGTCCGTGTCTAATGTGAGGGCCGAACAGAGGCTGGAGAAGAGGGAGAGGAGGAGCCCAGGAGGGTGGACGGATGTCCCCTCACCCTCTCCCTTCAGGGCATGGGGCAGACTGACCCTCCAGCACTCCTTGGTGGCGCTGTAGCTCCGTAGCTTCTGTGACCACAGTTGGGTTGGAGGTTGTGTCCGTAATCACCTGCCATAACGGTTCTCTCCCCCACCCCCGTTGGTGACTGGTTGTTTCTAATGCTCAGCCTTGTGTTCCATGATGCTTTCAGGGCTCATGTCGGGTCTTGCAGACCCTGGACACTTTACAGGAAAGAGGAGTGCTTAGCTCCCAGTGGCCTTTGGGTCCTCGGCAAGGTGACAGCCCCAGATTAGGGAGATAGGCCACCCTCCCCCCCACCCAGAGGGGTGGACGCACCATCCTTGGGCCTGGAGGGAGCTGCCTCAGCAGCTCAAGGTTTAGGGACCCGGCCAGTGTCTAGGACAAGGAGCAGCCTCACCTCCTTTGGGGCTTGTCTCTCAGGGAGTCTTGTCCAGTGGCTGCCAAACCTGTCCCAGGCCCTGTTGTGACCCTGCAGCCACTGCTTGTTATGGGGCCTGCATCCGCCTCAGGCCGTCCCCGGGTCAGACTGCCCCCACCTCAAGGTGTGCTCTGGCACCTGGCAGAGCGCTTGCAGAGGGAAAGGGTGAGGGCAAGTGGGCGATACCCCTTTGATCACAGCTTCCTTCATTTCCTGCAGCCACATCTGTGGATAAAGGCGAGTGTTTGGGGGGCGCAACCTTGAGCCTTCTCCACGACAGAAGCTTCAACTACACCGGCGACAGCCAGGCCCAGGAGCTCTGTCTGTATCTAACCAAGGCCGCCAGCGTCCCCTACTTTGAGATCCTGGAAAAGTGGATCTACCGCGGGATTATCAACGACCCCTACAGGTCAGCCCTCCTCGCTTCCCCATTGCCTCATGTCACCCCTCTCCCTGACTCCATGAACCCCAAGAGCTCATGTTGCCTCTGGGGTCCCCTGGCCACACTCTCCCGTCTAGCGGAACTCCACATGGGCAACACCTTCCCCAGAAAGGCCTCCCCCCACCCCAAATGACTGTGTCTCCATTGCACAGGCCACGTAGAAGGCAAGAGTGCAGGGCCTGGTACCCAGCGGGGCTTAATCAATACTTGTTGATGGAGTGATTGCCCCAAGGCCTCGAGAGCTTGGTCCCAGCAGGGGGGAGCTCTCAGCTGGGAGAGGAAGAAGTTGTGGGTCCTTTGTGTGCTCACGCACAAAACTCTTCTTCCAGTGTGTGACTTTGGCCCTTTCTCTGGGCACACTGACTGGGACAGTGGGCGTGGGGGAAGGGCAGCTGGGAGGCTTGGCTCAGCTCTAACCTCCATCCTGAGCCGGCCTCCTTGACTAAGGAGTGGGGAGATGATTTTGCAAATGCCCTTGGGCGTTCCTTTGGTGACTTTTTGTTTTTGGGAACAGACTTCGTGGGTTAAGCTTCTCAGTCGGGTAGCAGTAGTCTTGGCGCCTCACTGTGAAAGACGTACCTAGAAGCTGAGACAGTCAAGTCCAGTGGCTCGCCCTGAGGCACCCGGTCATTCGTGGCTGAGGCAGGGCCCCAACTGGCTGCTTCTCAACCAGCATTTATTAAGCACTTAGGGATACAGAGAAAAATGCGCCTGTCCCTGCCCGCAAGGCTCTGACATTTTGTTGGGGGAGGCAGAATAGGGGAAATAAAATGTGTGCGCAGGGGAAGACACACTGACCGCTACAGAATTAGGGTTGGGACTAGAAAGGCCACAGGAGAAGACTGAGGCCAGACGGGGTGGTGGCTGACCTGGCCAAGGTCCGAGGGCAGGCAGGGTGAGGAGGTGGGGGAGGGCCGAGGTCCCGGCTGATTCACCATGCTCTGCCCTTGACATCTCTTCCTTGTTCCTTTTCCTGAACAAATGACCCAGTGAATTCATGGTGGAAGAGCATGAGCTTCAGAAGGAGAAAATCCAGGAGGATTACAATGACAAGTACTGGGACCAGCGGTATACCGTTGTCCAGCCACAGATCCCTTCTTTCCTCCAGAAAATGGCAGACAAGATCCTGAGCACAGGTGAGGCTACAAGAGCCACGGAGCCACAGAATGCTGTCTGGGAGCCTGGCCAGGGCACAGTCACCTGCCCCTGGGGCAGGGCTTCAGTTGGGTCCTGTCCCACTTCTCTGGCCATCTCTGCTCCGGGCTCTATGTCCCTGGGCCCAGTCAGGCCTCTCGCCAGCCTGGTCAGCTCGGGTGGTGACCAGCGGGGCTCTGGTCAGGGCGTCTTGGGTCATCCTGGACCCTCCACCTAGGGCAGCACCCCTCTTTTGGGTGTTTGTGTCACCCTGAGGCCCTGGCCCCAACATCTGATTCTGCCACAGACCCCCCAGGATCTTGGGCAAGGGCTTCCATTCACTGCCTTATCAAAGGACGATGGCAGACACAGGGGCCTTCCTGCTTGGTGTGGAGAGTTCTGTGCACTTGCCATCCATCTCCATCTTCTCCAGCCCCATTGCCCTTCCCAGCTGCAGATCACCTGCGCACTGGCTGTGTTCTGGCATCCCCATCGTCACGGGGTGCCAAGGACAGACTGCCCTGCCTGAATGTCCCTCTTGCTGGCCTCTCTTCTTCCACCTCAGAAGGCTGAGTGCGCTGTGTGAACAGCGTGCCCTTCATCCGCCCCTCCCCTTATCCTCTCCAGGAAGGGGCCTGAGTTTTTTCTGCTCTTGGTGAAGTCACACGGGTTTATAGGTCACTGCCAGGAGTCAGTCTGACCAAAGTCCCTGGCTGAGGACTGCCTTCTTTCTGGATGTTGGAACACTGGACTTTCTTATTCTTGGCTTCCGTGATGTTCCTGGCCGACTGGCAGCAGCTCATCAGTCCCCTCCACCAGCTCTCTCCCCAGCTTGCTCTGTACTCGGTCTTGTGCTCTCTGTCCCCCTCCCCCAAAGAGCTTTCTTTCAGCCTAAGGATGGAAAATGAGGTAGCACCAATGTGCCGTCCAGAGTGCTGCACGTCTGCGGGCCCGCTCTTGTGCCCAGGCTCCAGTTTCTGGGGCTAGCTGGTTCTTCTGGCTCTGCTCTGCTCCTGTTCCTGTAAACCTTCCTGGAGCTCTTTCCCAGGGGACACCACCTTGTTTCCAGTTCTTTGCTCTCCCACTGAGGGCTGCTGTCAGTACTTGGGGGTGCCTTGAGCCTTTTTGGGACCACTGCACTGACCTCCTGGAGGCCTCCCCCTACATGCTCCCCTCTAGGCCTCTCTTGCCACATCTGCAAAATAGGCAGAGTCACACCTCTCAAATGTGTTTCCAGGGTTGTGGTGGGGAAAGGATTCTTCTGCTACTTTTACGCCCTCCAATTGCAGCTCTTTTTATGAAGGAGAGAGCAGATGCCAAAGAGTGAGACCCACACTCTCCTCATCCTCCCTTTGTGACTGCGGTGGGGTTGTCCTGTCCCTCCCCCTTTTATCAGCATGGAAACTGAGGCAGCTAAGAAGTGGAGGGACCTGGGCCAGGAAGACCAGAGGAGGCTGTTGGCAGAGTCTGGGTAGTGACCCTCGAGGATAGTGGAGGGAGAGCCCTGGGGGGGGTGAGGCCAGGGGCCTGGCGGGAAGGACCCTCAGTGCCCACAGTGGGCCAAGCTCCTCCATGCTGCTCGGTGACCGTCCTCCTTCCTCCTTCCGCCTTCCAGGCAAGTATCTGAACGTGGTCCGAGAGTGCGGCCACGACGTGACCTGCCCCGTGGCCAAGGAGATCGTCTACACACTGAAAGAGCGCGCCTACGTGGAGCAGATCGAAAAGGCCTTCAACTATGCGAGCAAAGTGCTGCTGGACTTTCTGATGGAAGAGAAGGAGCTCGTGGCCCATTTAAGGTGATGGGCGTGCTCACACACACCCCGCCCCTCCTCTCCACGGCCCCCCTCGGTGTTGCACTCCAACCGCGCTCAGTGTAGTGGGCTCTCTCCATTTCTGGAGCTGCGGTCACTTAGGCAGCTCCTCCTCCTCTTCCTCAATTTCTTCCCTCCCCACCCCAAGAGTAACGGTAGCAAGTGACAGCACCATTGTGACAACGTGGCACTTGGTGGTGCGAAAAGCGCCTTCCAAACGTCACTGCACTGGGTCTTCACGAAGACCCTGGGAGGGAGTGCCCTGGGACAGCTGAGGAAGGCGAGGCAGACGGCATTTGTCCTGCCTCGCCCGGGCTCCCCCACCTCTGACCGCCGGGTGCCTCTGGGGGTCCACAGGTCCATCAAGCACTACTTCCTCATGGACCAGGGCGACTTCTTCGTGCACTTCATGGACCTCACGGAAGAAGAGTTGAAGAAGCCTGTGGACGACATCATCCCCACCCGGCTCGAAGCCCTGCTTGAGCTGGCCCTCAGGATGAGCACAGCCAACACAGACCCCTTTAAGGACGACCTGAAGGTGAGCCGAGCCCCGCCTGTTGGCCAGAAAAGCTGGCAGCCAGGGCCACTCCCGCAGGTGGGGGAGGGCAGGGCAGGCCCATTGGCTGTCCCTCACTGGGTCTAGGTCAAAGGGTCTGCTTGTCTTGTGACAGTGTGGCAGGGATCCGGGATGTCCCTAAGGGAGTCACAGATTTTGGAAGTTGAGTGGGGGTGGGCCACAAGAAGAGCATTTCTGACCAGGGCTTGTCCAGCGAGGACGGCCCCTTCCTCTCACCCCCACTCCTGTGGGGATTCGGTTGGCCTCTTCCTGGCCTCCCCATCCCATCTGGCCCCTCCCTCTGGGACCGCGAGGAACAAGGCTAGTCCCTCATCCCCTGACCATCCTCACGGGAGGTGGCCGAGGTCCTCTCCAGGGCTGGCTGCTCCCTCCAGCCCTTCCTGGCCGAGCGACGGGAGGGGCCCACGTCCTTCCTCTTGGCCTCTCACAGATTGACCTGATGCCTCATGACCTCATCACGCAGCTTTTGCGAGTTCTTGCCATAGAAACCAAACAGGAAAAATCCATCATTAACGCTGACCCGACGGAGCTCACGCTGAGTGGCCTCGAAGCCTTTTCTTTTGACTACATCGTCAAGTGGCCGCTCTCGCTGATTATCAACAGGTAGACAGCCCCTTCCCTGGGCCAGTAGGCTGCCCTCAGTTTCCCCACGTGTCTAGCACAGGTCCTCAGGGAGGGGCCTGGTGGAGGGCCAGCTCTTCCCCATGCGCATAGCTTAAGAGGCGGTGTGGACTGGGCACCCAAAGGATTGTCACCTGCACGGTGGAGGGGCTGGGCACCAGCGGGATGTTAGGACCTCTGGGTCCCAGAAGGTGGCCCGAGTTGGCCTCCAGGGCCCGTCCATCCTGCAGCAGAACCCCCGAGGGGCTGACTGTCCCGTTCCCAAGGGCTAGTCCTTCCAGGGTCTGCAGCGGGGTCAGATCTACCGAGAGCTCTGGTTAGCAAATGCAAGTGCGTGTGGGTCGGTGGGTAGATGGCGCCGGTGTGCACGCCTGTATACATGTGTGCGTGTGGTTGCGCATGTAGTGGATGGAGTGTCACATGCATGCATGCACATGCACATGTGTGTAGATGAGTATTTGTGTGTGTTGTGCGCTTTGGGACGTGTGGGCATCTGCACATGTGTGTGGGTGGGTGTGGCACAGGTGTGCAGCATGTGCATGCGGGTTGTGTGAGTGAGCACACGTGCACAGGTATGCATTCGCATGGGTGCAGGTCTACTGCAAGCACACGCGTGTGGCAGCACAGGCGGGCTGTGGCATGGATGCACGCATGTGCATGTAGCGTGTAGTGTGCATACACTGGCACTGCGGGACAAGGGGCCATGGTCACACCGTCCCTCCCGTCTCCATCCTAGGAAGGCGCTCACCCGCTACCAGATGCTGTTCCGACACATGTTCTATTGCAAGCACGTGGAGAGGCAGCTCTGCAACGTCTGGGTCAGCAACAAGACCGCCAAGCAGTTCTCCTTACCCTGTGCCAAGTGGTACGTGCGGGGCGGGGCCTTGGGGAGCGGGATGGCACCAAGGGCTCCTGCCTTCTGCCATATGCACAGACGCTGGCTGTGGCGGTGCCGGGCCAAGACGTGCAGCCGGGAGAGCCGTGGTTGGGCACCTGGGGAGACCCCCATTGATCCAAAAAAGCGAAGGGAAACTGGCGTTTAGGTCGCTCTTCAGTGAGTGGCCTTTCAAGCCCAGAGAGGGGTGTGGCCCGAGCCCCCAGCCAAAATGGGGCTTAGCACCTCCTTTGGGGTTTCCGTGTTCTCCCCCGAGGGGATTCTCCTGGGCGTTCACCCCAGTGGGCATGGTTCTGGACCAGGAGTCAGGAGAACCCAAGCTCTAACCCTGGCCCTCACTGGCCTTGCGGTGCTAGAATAGACACATCAATCTCTGCCTGCCTCAGTTTCCTCATCTGTGAAATGGGCATCATTCTAGCCCTCAAAAGAGGTGCCATGTTTGTAAAGCCCTTTCCAAACCTAGGAATGACAGTGTTTATTCTGTGGTGAGCAGTGTAACAGAGAAGGAAAAGCTGACTTTTCTGTTGCAAAGGCCCGTGGACCACACACACTTATCTGCACCCTCACGTACGTGCACACACTTTGTACAACATGCATGCTCACCCACTCACATGTGCACACTCCTGTGCATGCACACACACAGGTGCTCGCACTCACATGCACACACTGTTGTGCATGCACACACAGGTGCTCACACACTCACGCGCACACCCATCTATGTACACACACGTGTGCTCACACACACTGAGATCCTCCTTTTCCCTTTATCGGTTCAGGTTTGCAGGGGCTTTCACTCTGAGACAGCGTATGTTGAACTTTGTCCAAAACATACAATATTACATGATGTTCGAGGTGATGGAACCAACCTGGCACATTCTGGAGAAGAATCTGAAATCGGTGAGTGCTGGGCTCCCCGGGCGACTGAGAAGGGCAAAGGGCAAAGGGCAAATGCCTACTGAGCTCCGCCCCCCAGGCTGCCCACGCCCCAGGGCTGCCCCTTCTGTGGTTCACGGGGCCCCCGGGCCAATGAGCCAATGCCGTCAGGGTAGCCCGAGGCGGCCGAATTCCCGGACCGGACCTCTCGGGCCCTTGCCGTAGGCACTCCGCTCTCTCGCAGGCGTCCAACATTGACGACGTCCTCAGCCACCACACGAGTTTCTTGGACAACTGCCTGAAGGATTGTATGCTCACGAACCCGGAGCTGCTGAAGATCTTCTCGAAGCTGATGTCCGTGTGCGTCATGTTCACAAACTGCATGCAGGTCGGTGGGGCGATGGGGCGGGGCGGGGCGGGGCAGGGGGAGGGGCCTCGGCGGGCCTTCACGGCTCTCTTCCCTCGCTTCTGAAGAGATTCACCCAGAGCATGGAGCTGGGCCCCCCCACAGAGGCCGAGCCTGCGGAGGAGGTCTTCAAGAGGAAGCCTGCCGCGAAGGTGAGCGCGGTGGCCTGTGGGGGCCAGGAGGAGGGGCGGGATGTCTCATTGGCGGGAGGAGGCAAGGTGTCTTACGGTCCCCATTTTACATTTGGAGAAACTGAGGGATGCAGGGAAGCGGCTTGCACAGCGGAGGAGGTGTCTGAGGCAGCATTTGAACCTGGGTTCTCCTGACTGCTGGTCCAGCGCTCTGCCTTCTAAGCAGCCCTGCTGCTTCTGCGCAAGAAGCCCTGAGTTCAGCTCTTAGAGCTGCGTGCCCTCCAGCCTGTCCCGTACTCACCTTTCTCAGCCTCCTCCTGGTCTTTCTGTAAAATTGGGGTGAGGATGCTTATGTACCTGCCTCCCTAAGCACCCTTGCCATGCCCAGCTTTGCCTGCAGGGCGGACCTCAGGGGGTGCAGAATCCCTGCCCACACCTGCCTGGTGCCCTACCGCAGGGAAGCCTGGGACTGGCCAGGGTGGCCCTTATTGCCACAGGCCTCATGGCTCTAAGAGCAGCCTCAGCTTGCTCACCTGTGAAATGGGCATGCCCCGATTTCCTTGGAATCGGGGTTAGGGTCAGGGTGAGGGTGACCCCTTGTGGTGGGCCACAGCCCCCCTGGGGTGCTCATGCCTCCCTTTTCCAGTATCTGGCAGAGCACGTGGACGCTCTTCAGCTGACGTCCGGCTTCGAGGCCACCATCAACAAGTTTGACAAGAATTTCTCCACCCATCTCCTTGACCTCTTGGATAAACTGAGTGTGTTCAGCACCAACGACTGTGAGCACAGCATGGTCAGCGTCATCTCCAGGTGAGGGGCCCCACAGAGAGCATGCATTTAGGAAGCACCGACTGTGTCCCCGGCACTGCGCCAGAGCCCGAGAGGCAGCCGCTGCCCTCCAGAACAAGAGAGGTGTTCCCACTGTGGTCCTCTCCTCCCCTCTGTGCCCTCTGACCCTGCCCTTCCCTTGTGAGGACTGAGCACCCTGTGTGGAAGGGGCAGGCCACGGCCAACGGGCAGAGCCTGGGCCACTTGTGCTCCCGTACCCAGCCTGAGGCCTTTCGGGACAAAAACAAAAGTGGGAAACCGATCCACACAATGAGAAGATAAAGACCCCAGGTGGGGGGCCCCCCCCCCGGGGGGGGTCCCCCCCCCCCCCCCCCCCCGCACCACCCCTGCTGAACTAGACCTTCCCCCCAGATGTGGACCCCTGCACCATCCCTACAGAACTAGACCCTCTCCCCCGGCTTTGGACCCTCCTCCCCCAGATGTGGACCTTTCACCCCCCAGAGGCAGACCCTCACCTCTCCAAAGAAGCCGGGGAGACATCTTCTGCTGTCTCGCCCTTAGATCTGGGCTTGCTCTTGGCGGCTTCATTTCGATTTGTTTAGTGTTCAAGCTTTTTGGGTTTTCCGGCTCTGCTGACCATCCTGCCCCCCTGCCCAGGCCCAGCCTCCCCTCCCTGGTTACTTCCAGCCACAAGGGGGCTCTGTCCCAGGGCTTGGCTGCTCTCACTGGACAATGACCTCTTTCCCAGGTTTTGGCCAGGGTTCTAACCCCAGGATAAAGTTGGTAAAGGAGGGGGGGAGGGCTGGAGGCTGCCCCTTGGTGCCCTTTGCACCTGCCTTGATTTCTTCTGCGTCTTTGACTTTGGATTGCCTATTCCTCTTGTGAGACAGGTGTTTGCGATGATCATCTCCAAATAAGTCCGCAAAGTCAGATGAAGCATTTATTATATACTCACTGTATACCAAGCACAATGATGCATGTCCCTGCCTCCAAGAAGCTTCCTCTCTAATGGGGGGGACAGCAGGGAGACTCTAAGAACAGCACCAAAGGGGAGGGCGGCAGGTGGCCTGAGCCCCGGGGAGGAGTGGCTCCCCATCTCCGGGTACCAGGGCAGGCCACAGTGACCAATGGGTCACACCCATGGGGACCTGGGGGACACCATCTCCGTGGCTTCTTTGTAGGGGTGGCTGACGTCTGCCCGTGATCGCTACCTTCTCTGGAGGCTGGGGAGTGTCACACCGGGCTCTCAGGGTTTCCCTCCTTCCTTCCCCGCAGGCTGGACTTCAATGGTTTCTACACTGAGCGGCTGGAACGCTTGTCAGCTGAGAGAAGCCAGAAGGCAGCAGCCCCAGTGCCCATGGCCAGGGCGGCTCTGCCGGTGCAGTGAAGAGCCCAGTGCCCCCTGGGGAGGGCTCCTCACCAATGCAAGGTGGCGGGAGATTGGGGTGGGATATGTATTTATATTAGAGACATTAAAAAAGTGAGTGTCAATGTCTCCTCTGTGTCTGCCCAGTGCATGGATGCTCAGGCCCCTGTGGGAGGGCTGTCCATTGCAGGAGTCCACCAGGATACCACTGTCTGTCCCCTCCCTGGGGAGCCCTCGCTGGCCCAGGACCCCATGTAGGAGCAGACTATACTTAGCTCCCCTCTGAGATTCAACAAGCCTTTGGCACGGAATGAAGCCGCAAAGATTATCAGTCAGAGCTGGACCTGTAGTCAGGAAGACCTGAGTTCAAATCCTGCTCAGGCATGGACCAACTGGGTGGCCCTGGGCAAGTTACTTTGCTTCTGTCTGCCTCAGTTTCCTCTCCTGTAAAATGGGAACCATAATAGCACCTACCTTGCAGGGTTACAGGAAGGTCAAATGAGATCCTGTTTGTGAAGCACCTGTAAACATCAGCTATGATTAATGCTCTTTTTCTCTGTGGTCCCCTTTTCTGGGCCTCAGTTTCCTCCGCTGTAAAATGGGGCTGTTGTTTAGGGTTGGTTATGCGATCCCCTTCAAAACGCTCTGGAAATGGGAGCCATTATCTTGGCGGCTCCACCTCGAGGAGGCAGAGTCCCTGGTGCTGGAGAATGAGTTCTGATGACAGCGTGACCAGGGTGCTCCTCCCGGAAGCTTCCCTGAGAGACCTCTGCCAGCCCCCAGTGTTCCTGAGACTGGTCCCACACTCTCACACGTAGTAACACACATGCACGTGGTAACACACACATGATAGAACACACACTCCTCAGCGTGGCACTGGGGGCCCACTGCGAACACAAACAAGTCTACAGTGGACAAACAGGGCAGGCCCCTCGGGAAAGGCTCGTGGAGAAGGTGGGGTCTCAGCTGTGCCCGGGGCGCAGCTGGAGAGGGTCCCTGAGGAAATCATGGGGGGAGGAAATCATGCGAGGGGCAGAGAGGCCAATGGAACGAGGAAGGGGAGGACATGAGTCTGAGGGACCCACGTTTGTTGATCTGGATAGCACAGGAGGGAGACCATCAAAGGAATATGGACACAACTAGGTCTTAAAGACTGCCCCCTCCTTTAACAGGCCAGGGACCTGCCCAAGGACACTCAGACAGCTAGAAGCAGCTGGCTTCGAAGCCAGGTCCCCAGCTCCTTGTGCTGCCCCTGCTTTTGTACAGGTCACTGATTCTGGGGTGCTGGACTTGGTGGTGAGACACCTGTCTGGGCCTTGCGTTCTCAGGAAGGAAGGACAGACTGGTCCTGGGCCCCCAGACAAAAGAAAAAGTGGGCCTTCCCCTTCCTCCCCCCCTCAGTCTCTGTAGCTTCTCCTGCCCCAGTGACGGCATCTATGCATCTGTGGGCAGGAAGAATGAGCCACCGGGCTTCCTGTGATGAGCTGCCTGGGGAGGGGGCGCATTTGGCAACAGCAGGGACTCCCTTTCGCCACCCTGGAAGCAGCTTCTGTGGCAACAGTTCCTCGGCGGCGTCAACCTGGAGGGATTTGTGGACAGAGAGCCAGCTCCCAACCATCTCCTTCCAGAAGCTCTGGCCTCTCCTGACTGCCCTTTGCAGCCCTCCCACCTCTGCCTGTTGATGCTTTCTCAGTCTCATCCTGCATCTTCATCTTGACATCCCCCAAGCTTCTGTCCTGCCTGGGTTCCCTTCAGCTTTCCCTCATCATCTCCCTGAGCTCCAATCCATTGGACATCTGACAGCTTAAACTCAGCTATCCAAAACAGAAGTCCTTTCTCCCCAAACCCACCTCTCACGTCATCCCACATACTCACTCAGTTGCCAAACGATGTCATCACCCTCCATGGCCTTTCTCATCTCTGTTCCCATCTCTCAGCCACCCCCAAATTCAGGCCCCCATCTCCTCTTGCCTAGATGATTGTAATAGGCATGTCATGGGTCTCTGCCCTCCACATTGCACTATCCACGCAGCTGCCAAAGTGATTTTTCCCAAAATGTAGGTCTAACCGCATTCCCCTGGACATGAGAAAGCTCCAGCTGCTCCCTGTCACTTCTCAGGTGGGCATTTCCTTCCTATCCATCCACAGCATGGAGTCCAGTGCCTGGCACATTATCAATAGCAAATGTTTGTTGGCTGATTGATTGTGCTGTGAAGGAGGGTAGAGATTTTGTAGAGGGGGAGGGAGGGAAGGGCTGCCTTCTGAGCCCACCTCGGGGGCCAGAGTGGAGAGGGAGCAGCTCAGTTGGCAAAGGGCAGGTGCATAAAGCAGGGCTTTACTTGCCCATTTGGCCATTTTCAGACACCCACCGTGTGCCAAACTCTGGGGTTAGGGTAAGGGTTAGGGATTAGGGAAAAAGATAGTCTTTGACCTCAAGGAGCTCTCAATCTAATGAGGCAGAGACAATGTACAGAGATAAGGAATGAAGGGGGCTGTGGGAGGCTGGACCTGGGATTTTAGCTGGGACCAGAAGGAGACTGGGGAGGTCAGAGCCTTCCAGGTGTGAGGGATAGCCAGGACTGTGGAAAGAGGAAGGGAAATCCTTTGGGAAAGTGTTAGGGTTAGGAGCTTGCTGTCCAAGCACCTGGTCTGCACTGTGGGGTGCACTGGACCTCTTTCCATGTCTTTGGGGGAGACCTGTAACCAGCACTGGGTGATGGAAGGGAGACGATGGAACTGGGAAGGGGATCTCTCCACAGAACCCACAGAAAGGTAAAGGTGGAAAGGTCCTTCGGTATGGTCAAGCCCAACTCTGCCATTTTACAAGAAACAGGTGCAGAGGGGATGTCACAGAGGTCAGTGGTGGCCTAGTGGGGGCTCATCTGCCATCTCATGGGCTGCCACAGGAGGGGACGGTGGCCCTGCATGTGAATAAACAAGGCCTGTCTGGGCAGAGGTGGGATGGGGCCAGACTGCAGAGGGACTGAGGGACTGACGTCTACAGGCGGGTGATGTGATGAAAGTCTGGGCCTGGCCCGTGTCCCGAGATGGAGGAGAAGGGTTCCACCAAACGGAGAATTGTCAGGAACGTTCCACACCGGGAAGGCCTGGCGAGGAGGAATGGGCTTGGGGAGGGTGCTGAGGGAGAACCAGGAGCAGAACCCAGCCTGGCAGGAAGGAGATGAGCTCTACAATGTCCCCCAGCCTGGTGATCCCAGGTCTGCTGGATTGTCTCCCCCATCCCACCCCTTTTACCATCCCATGGCCACCATCCACCGGACTCTTACAGCTTCCTTCCCCTAGTCTTCCTGTGTCCAGTTGCTTGGACCACATCACTCTGCATCACACTGGCATGGCTGTGGTGGATTGGAGTCAGAGGCTTGGGGCAGTCACCTCTGTGCCTCACTTGACTCCTTTGTAAAATGAGGTGGTTGGATCGACTTGGAAGGACCCTTCCACCTCATTCTCCACGGCAATGTTAATGCTTCCTCACTGGTATTGAATAAAGTTCAAACCACTTAGCCGGGCGTTCAGGGACAGCCACAACTGCCCTGAGCTGCCTTCTTCCTCCTCGTTTTCATCTTTCACTCCTCCTCCCACCTTCTGTTTGCTTCCACCAAAAGAGGTCACTTGTAGGGCTGAAGAGTGGACTTCAGAGGTGACTGGTCCTACCTGGGTGGTTCCTGGTAACAGTGAGTGAGTGTTAGTCCAGCAGGTGCATCCTGAGAGTTTATACTGTGCTAAGAACTGGGGATGCTGAGGAAGGCAAAAGCTCCAAGTCCAGCGGGGCAGGCAGCACCCAAATAATTCATCAAGTGGATGCAGGATGCAGGACAGTAGGTAGAAGGTGACTGCAGGGGGAGGTAGCCCACTCCCGTCCCTAAGATGCCCATTTCACTGTGGGGACTGATAGGAAATGCCTCCAATAGCTGCAGGGCTTCCAGCGTACACCCAGGGCCACCCTTACTCAGAACCTTCCCAACCAAGGCAGGGAGTGTGGCCCCCTCTCCCCAGCTCTGCTGTTGGCCAAATCACTAAAATGTTAAGCAGCCCAGGTTAAAAAAGGGTTCGCTGGTGACCTCTGCCCACTGTCACTTGGCCGAGAAAACAAAGGGGAAGCAAGACTTTGGTCACTGTCTTCTCTCTACTGTCTATGGCCACCCTTGCCCCTCCCCCCAGTCACAGCCCATCTCTTTTTGGAGCCTTCTTTCCCTCATCTGGCTTTTCAAATAGCCATACACGCACATGCACCTGCACACGCACATGCATCTGCCCTAGCCAGCTCACTCTGGAATCCGCTACAGTCAGCTCCCGTTAGCCTGGCAGAATCTGCCATCCACACTCGTCATCATTTCATTCCCTCTGCATCCACAGCCGGGTCCAGGCAACTCTCTGCTTCCTCACTGAAATGGCTTCATTCCTGAGCACTCCCCAGATCTCCTATGCTGGCATCCCACGGAGGATCTTGGTGCAGGGAATCCTACCTTCCCTTTTTCTGCATCCCCAAATCCAGGTGCCCTTAGTGAGGACTCGCTGGGCTCAGTCTCCCAGAACTCCACCGGATGTGTGTCCCCTTCAGGGTCCGTATTGCTGAGGAGGTGGAGTATTGTCTCCCCCACCGTCAGCTCAAGCCCCCATTCTGGGTCTAATCCTCACACTCTTGGCCACCAACAAGGAGCACCAGCCCCATTTCCTAAGAGGTTGGTTGTTTCAAAGATAGAGCAAAAACAGAAGTACCAACTTTCCCTCTTATGTTCTGGGGACCCTTCTGCTACTTGTCTCGGGGTGGGGGGGGGGGAATGGGCTTAGACTTATCACAGATTCTGCAACTTCACACCCAAACACACTATCTACACTGCTGGGACGCTTCTCGGGGTATAGAGGCTGCGCACACGTGCAAAACCAGGCATAGACTTGCCTCTTAGACTCCTGAACTGGGTGGGTCACTCTCCTCATCTCTTGACTCACATGCACACGACAAACAAAACCAAATGCCACAAAATTGTAAAGAACAAGGGCAGCTCAGAAGGGGAGAGAAGAGAGGACCCTCTCCCCCTGCCCCTTTGTGCAGGTGGGGGCCCCAAGGGTTGCACTGGCACATTTTTTAGGTCTTTGATGAATTGGTCAGT